TAAAAGAAAAGACTTATTTAACCAGTTGCTACGTCATCTTTAACAATATTTGCATCGATTACTTAAATTTCAATTATTCTTTTCTTATTATTCTATATCTTATTATTAAGAGCTTATATCTTATTATTAAGAGCTTATATCTTATTATTAAGAGCTGGTGTTTCACATGTCGTCCCATATAAATTTGATCGAGGTCAGACCAATAGTTTTTGAGTTATCCTTATTTAATTTTTAATTTATAATTATTATCGTAGTAAGTCTGGTATGATATCCCCTTTAAAATCATAACTCAAGAGTTGCGGGTTGTTATTTTATGTGTCTCACTACCAATGTTTTTCTAATATTTACTAATAATAAAAAAAGTAGTAAATTACTATTATCGTCCTTTCAAAAAAAAATCATCTATTTATTTTTTATTTCGATTTTACGTTTTTGTTAGTTGCGTCCTTCTTTATCATGACGGCAGAATGCCTAACCCTGTCGCCTCACGCTTGTGACGCAGTAGGTTTCAGCCTTGGCGGGGTTCGTTCGTTTTAGTTTTTGAGACAGTTCCGTGTTGATTTTGTACACGCGTGCGCGAGCGACAGTTCAATCGTTTTGTTTAATAAATTTACTTGTGATTACGTGTTGATATTATTGTTGTTGTTACGTTTTTGGATTCTTTTTTGTTTTAATAATGCCTAACGCGTACGTTTATAGTGCTCAACATGCTAGGTATCCGAACCTAGGTACACGAAGTATCGATAAATAAATTGTTAAGACGTCGGGATGGAACAAGTGTGTCATACTTTGCAGTGCACAAAGTGTTGAAGCGTAACCGGATGCGCCCATACAAATTGCACAAAGTGCAAGCTTTAGTTCCCGGCGATCACGACCGCCGACGAGTTTTCTGCCGTTGGTTATTAAACTAGCAACAACGTGTGCCTGGTTCCATTGAGCACATTATCTGGACGGATGAGTCGACATTTACCAGAAACGGCCTGTGGAACCGAAGAAATACACACGTGTATTCAGAGGTTAACCCGCACGCTGTTCGACAAACCGGGCACCAAACCCGATGGTCGGTTAACGTATGGGCAGGTATTAAGGATCGCATACTGGGACCAGTGTTTCTGCCACAGCGACTGAACGGACAGCGATACCTAAACTTTACAAGTGAACAGTTGGTTGACATTTTAGACGACCTATCGTTGGCTGAATATCGCCGACCATGGTTCCAGCATGATGGTGCACCTCCACATGTCGTGAGGTTCGTCTGTGAGCGCCTCACAGAATTATTTGATGATCGCTGGATTTGGCAGACTAGGACCACTCGGTTGGCCACCTCGCTCGCCAGATCTGACCCCGTTAGACTTCTTTCTGTGGGGGTATGTGAAAGAAAGGGTTTTTAATCGTGAGTGTGATAGTGCTGACGAAACTACAAAAGGATCGTGGATGTTTTCGACAAACTACATACGGACTGTGTCGAAGACTACACGATGATGCCCCGCCTGCATGAGGAGATGCAACACCGAGCCCAAATCTGCCTTGAAATGAATGGAGCACAATTTGAGCCGCATCTCATAAGACCACGGAGGATTTAGAGCGGTAAGCTGTTTCATAAGTATTTTTTTTAAATAACTTAGTACTGGACTAATCTGAATAGGTACATAACTGAATACATGAGAATAATAAACATACCTACACGATGAATGAAAACGCATGACTCCAATCTTGGTTACATTTCATTAATTTAAGTATTTTTTCATTAGCGGGGAATCGAACCAGTTATTTGGGTTATTTAACCTGTAAATTCGTATTAAAGTGGCTACGTGGAGACAAGTACAGTGGCAAAATAGTAGGTTAAGTAGATAAGTTAGGTATTTAGACAAGTGTTGTAAATTATTAGGTAATGTAGTATGGCCCGCTAGTTGCGGGCCGCGCGAATTTGCGTTCGCGCGTACATGACCTCAAGTCAGCTGATATCAATTCAGTAATTCCACTGCTGGTTTTATGTTTCAGTATTTTCATGATTTTTTTATGAAATTATCGTTTCATTTAGCTGTACTAACATGTAGCGCGTGAATAAAGCTAATAAAACGTTGTAAAAAGATGATTTTTTTTCATCAGGATCGAATTTATGTATTACCCATGATCAAAGGTATACTTGGTGCTGTCGCCTGTCTTAGTTTTCGGGAGCGTTCCAAAAATACCCTGTATAATAAATCTGTAGAAAAGCCGTGTCTGTAATTGTAATATATTTTTGAAAAAACAAGTCCATATTACTAAATAAAGTGTGGTGAAGCTAAATTAGTGGTTTTTAGAATTTTTGTCAGTCTGTGTATTACCGATTCACGCAAAAACTACTGGACCAATTTCCATAAAATTTTATATGTAGGTAGTTAGTACCCCGGGGCAACTTATACGCTACTTTTTATCCGATTACGAACCTTAAAAAAGAAGGTTAAGTATTTTTCTTCCTTTAGATGTTAATTTTCTATTATAGGTATATGATTATTTTAGTTAATAGGCGGGATGACGGGTGTTTTTTAAAAAAAATTATATTTGTAAATTTCGTTTAAATTAGTTTTTACCTTTGCATAACAATTTGAAACTCCGTTGACGATATACGTTTTGATTATCAAAACAGCGCCATCTATCATCAAATGAAAAAAGCCTATATTTACTTGTATAAATAACTTATATTTATGTTTAAATAATTATATTAATAAAATTGTTAAAATCCTAAGTCTTAATTTAATCGTTATTTCATTTTAAAAGTTCAATAATTAAAATTAAAAAAATAATAGATAAAAGTGACATCTATTATCTAAAAACATCATGACATCATCTATCAAACGTAGGAACATTTATTTTATTTTGAACTAAAAAACATATCAATTTTCATACGATTTATACTATATCTGTATGTAAGCTGATTAAAACTGGTCCGTCCTGCAATTATTGCAAAATTCTCATGAAATCATTATTTCGTGAAAAGGTGTCATTTCATGATATTTATCACTGTTTGTTGACCATGTCATAATATAGCTTAGCCAAACAAAGAATAGAGATCGTTTAACGATATCACTAACTTAACACAATATTGCTATTTCATGACAATATCTTCATATCGTCAAATAGTTTTTCACCGCTAGCGGCGCTGATAGCGTGTTTTTTAACCGAAACAGATTTTTAACAGAATCAACATCACTTATTGCCTTTTTTATATAATAATTAAAAAAATTATATTTTATATCTATACTAATATAGTAAAGCGGAAGTATTTTTGTTTGTTTAAACGCGCTAATCTCTGGAACTACCAGTCCGATTTGAAAAATTATTTTTGTATATTATAGCCAGATTCATGTGGAATAGTATAGGCTATCTAGCATTAAGCTATATAACTCAGCTAGCCTTAAATATGGATATTTGTTAAGCAAGTCAGAAGAAAAAGCACTCCCGAAATGATTTATCCGCGTACGCTGGTGATATCGTTAGGGATACGTAAATACAATATTCTAGAAAAATATAGATCTTTACTCCGTCTAAAAAAAAGTCCGCGATACCATATGTCTATTTCTTATACATAAGCCATAATTTGGTATTTTGTGACAAAAAAATATTGAAAATTTAAAAGTGATTTATGAGCGTTATTATTAGGCATGGCCTATTTATCCTTACGAACGAAAGTTACTTCATCATCAAGACAATTTTATGAAGATAAACTTTGTTCTTTATACAATGTTATTTGGACGGATAGTTTAAGAGATAATGTAAAATTAAAATAATTCAATACTTGGCTGGGCGCGCGAACGACGCTTGCTTGAACTAGGTCATGTCGCGCACCTCGGACACGTGATGACGCGGGTGAAACCGCGGGGCACAGCTAGTGTTTAATATTTCTATAATCAGGGCTCGATTTCATCAAAATAATTTAGTAGGCAATTTTGTGCACTGTTTTGAAAACTTGAGTGACACAACTTTGCCTGGGTCTAGGGTTGTCCCTGTTTGAATTTTATTAATGATATATATTTGTAATATGATTTCTTTCAATCTCTGTTTTCTCACTGCTGTGTAAATGCTTTCCTGACATTTAAACCGAATATATATTGTGACTTCAATATTGATGGGTTCAATGAATTGAAGTTTAAGAAGATGACTTTTGATTAAAAAGACAGAAATAATTTGAGACTTTATTTTAGGAACCAAGGACGACAAGACAAGGACATTGACAATGGACAATTGACTAGTACATAGAGTACACACTTCGTAACACAAATCATCAGCGATTTTTCGACAAAACGTATTTAGAGAACTTCTTAGAAGCACCCTAGAGTCTAGAATTATGCTCGGCATATGACAATACGGTACCAACTTACGACCACGACCGCCCTATCAAAAGTGTAACTGCTATGAAGATAGCAATAGGTATTCCGCTTATTATATAATAATAATAATACTAATCTGAGGCAACTGAGACTCCGTGACGAACCGCTCCAAGCTCAAATACAGAAGGCGGTGCTCCTCGATACCGCCCGCATCTTTCGCCGGTTCCTTTCCCTTTCCCCCTAACCCTCGGCTGTTTGGTCTCCCCTGCCGAGGGATTCCATGTGGTTGGGTTTTAATTTATTTATGTATTTTTTATGTATTTATTTTTTCATTTACAATTATATATTTATACAGCCCAACCATGAGAAAAATATATAGATACCCCTCATAATAATAATAGCCATTTATTTCCCAATTTTCATACAAAAGTCCATATTAGTGAAATAATTTACAATATTATTATAATTCTTGCAATTTTGTTTCCTTTACTAAGTGTCATGTTATCAGTGTTAATTTCAAATAAAAAAGTTCAAATTTAATATACATGAGATTTTAAAATTTTAAATACCAAAATGTAGTGTAGTACCTACCTCTACCTAACCCTACGGGGATTGCGGGCATGATATTGTGTTTTGTGTATTTAAATTAGTCTTAATTCTCTTACAGTTATATTAAAAGTAACGAAAATGATGGGAAACAATAAAAAGCGAAGCAGGAGAAAACCAGGAGCTCGTAATTATGCTGATTATTCAGCGGAAATGTTAGACGTTGCAGCGAATCTCGTGCGAAATAAATTTATTTCGTCATACGAAGCGGAAAAGCAGTTTGGGATCCCGCGTCGGACCGTTCTCAATAAATCTAAAAACATTCATAACAAACAATTTGGACGACCCACAGAGTTATCAGCAGAGGAAGAAGCTCACATCGCAGACGTAGTGAAACTTTCTGCTGAATTTGGCTGTCCTTTTACTATTTTAGATTTGCGCATTTTAGTTTACAACTATTTAGTAAAACGCGGAAAAGATCTTTACAAAGGAAAAATGCCAGGTGAACGTTGGGCCCGTGCTTTTTACAACGTCACAATTTTTCCGAAAGGGCAGCACAAAATATAAAAAGAAGTCGTGCTGCGAAAACAGTAGAGGAAATAAATGAATATTTCAAGAATCTTGAGACTTCACTAAAAGATGTTCCTGCCAGCAATATTCTTAATTTCGATGAGACAAATTTAAGTGACGACCCGGGGTCAAAAAAGTGTATTTTTAAAAGACGAACAAAACACCCGGAAAGGGTTATAAATGCAAGCAATAGTGCAGTTTCAATAATGTTTAGCGGAACTGCTCATGGCAATTGTCTACCACCCTATGTGTATTTGTGGTCCAGGTGGTGTGAGAATGGACCAAAAAATGCTCGGTATAACCGAACCAAATCTGGATGGTTCGATATGATATGTTTTGATGATTGGTTTAAGAGCATAGTTTTGCCATGGGCTAACTCTCTCGATGGCGTTAAACTTAACATCGGTGATAACTTGGCATCGCACCTTAGTGTCGAGACAATACAAATATGTCAAAATAAAACATCAGATTCGTTTTTCTTCCAAAAAATGCTACACACCTAACTCAGCCACTAGACGTTTCATTTTTTGGACAAATGAAACGAATTTGAAGGGAAATTTTAACAAATTATAAAATTACATACAACACTGCAAAGACAATCAACAAATGCCATTTCCCACAGCTACTGCAGGAGCTAATGACTAAAATAGACATGACAAAAGAGACCAACATACGTAAAGGATTTGAAGGATCTGGAATATTCCCTTTCAATCCCTCAAGAGTGACATTAAAAATACCAACAATACAAGAAGAAAATACTCGTCAGTTTTACGTCTCGTAGTTTTACAATGCCAGCCTTTTGGAGTTTTTACAGCAAAACAGACGATCACAGCTAATGAAAACAGGCAAAAACAGTAAGCTTACAGTTGTATCTGGTAAATCTATATCAACTGAAGAAGCAGAAGAGCTAGGTAAAGCTAAAAAGATGAAGAAGATTACAACAATAACTAAACGGAAAGAGAAAACTTCAAAATTAACTTGTGATAATAAAAAAATAAAGCATACTGAAACTAAAAGCCCCGGATCAAACCTTGGAAGACAACTCGGCATAATTACGTTATTCGTCGTTGATGCTCCAAAATTCTGACAGCCTTTGTAGACTTTGCATAAGTGCCATAAACTTTTAATTGCACCCTTTAATAGCAGATTCAAATGACTTCGTGCATTGCTTGAAGAATTTGCCAAAGCATTCCAAAATAAACACTCTGTTTTGCGAAGACACACCAGAATATCTGCAGTTAAAAATAGCTAATGACTCTAAACCATATAAAAACCCAAATAAGAATAAAAAACCTAAAATAATAATTACATCCAATATAATTATAAAAAAGCTTCTCCTGAAAAAATAACAGTTTTACGAGATATAGATACACAAATGAATAAAAGAAAACGAAGACTAGCTAGTACTTCACGAAGACCATCATCTAAAATTAAAAGAAGAAAAGAAAAGAAATTTGTGCACCATAGCGACTCGAGCCTGACATCGGAAACTTCGTTTCATGCTGTAGACGATTCCGACTATAAAAATTTTGATAATTCATTGCATCATGTTTGCAAGAACAAGAAGAACAAGAAAACATATTCCCTTTCGGATTGAGTGATATTGATTTTTGTGTTGAAGATTCTCTTGGACTTCAAGAAAACTAGCATAATAACAAGGATAATAGCTAAATTTGCTTCGCAAAAAAGTGTTAAACACTTTGTAGGGAAGGTTTTATCAATAAATAATCAAATTCCCAAAGTGAAATTTGTACGAAAAGTAAAAAGTTCTAAGTGTGTTAAGGGAACAATATTCACCTACCCTAACATTGAAGACATAATATGTGATGTACATGATTTAAGAGATGTTATTACAGTTTTACCTGATCCCCAAATTTCCCGACGAGGACATTTCATATTTAATTTAAATTTTGATAAATATAACATACAATAATTAAAAATGTTATAACGTACCAAACTAACAATGAGACGAACATTTTCAATCTTTTTACTATGAGAGTAGTCAAGCTGATTAATTTAGTAATACTATTCCGCTATAGCATTTTGAATAATAAATTTGTAGTTTTGATTGAAATTATTTTATATAATTTTTTAATGTTTTGAGTACACTCTGTGTGTTCCAGGTTTTGTTTTTATAATCACGTAACCATAGTTCGTACGTTTATCGTTCGGATATTCGTATTTCCTTTACTTAAATGGTTAAAACTTACTTACTTTTAATATCTACTTATTAAAACAGTATTTTGTTTAACAAAAATATTTCCGCCTGACTTTTAGATTTTTTTGGAGAGAATCGTGTTTTTTTTTTATATTAGGTGCTTCTAGAAATATGGAGACACGATTTTTGATAAACTGGTAGCTATTATTAGGTTGTTTTTCCATTATTTTTATAGATGTTTGATTTGTACCAAAGCTTTAAATATTGTTTCTACGATTTTTTTTTATAGAATAGGGGGCAAACGAGCATGCGGCACACCTGATGGTAAGTGACTACCGCCGCCCATGAACAACCGCAACACCAGGGGAATTGCAGATGCGTTGCCGGCCTTTTCGAAAGGTGTAAGCTCTTTTCTTGAAGGTTCCTAAGTCGTATCGGTTCGGAAAATTCGCTGGTGGTAATTGATTCCACAAAGAAGTTGTGCGAGGGAGAAAACTTCTTCTAAATCGCACAGTGGTGGACCGCCAATCATCCAGATGGTATGGATGGTAACGCGAGTTTTGTCGCGACGTGCGATGGTGAAATTGAGCGGCTGGAATTAGTCCGAACAATTCCTCAGAGCACTCCCCGTGCTAGATGCGATAAAATACGCAAAGAGATGCAACATCTCTACGCAGTGCCAGTGTATCGAGCCGATCGGAAAGAACTCGGTCGTCGACGATTCGAGTCGCTCTGCGCTGGATGCGGTCAAGTGGAAGGAGCTGGCACTGGGGTGCCCCGGCCCAGAGATGAGAACAGTATTCCATATGGGGCCGAACTTGAGCGATGTGCCGGCATGAAATACTGTCTCGCTCTGCTGAGCACGCCAAGCTTTTTAGAGGCCAATTTGGCCTTCCCTTCCAAGTGACCACGAAACTGCACGCTATTCGATATGTCGACGCCAAGGATTCCGATACTGGCTGAGGCAGCAAGGGGAGTGACTTGAAACTGAGGAGATACGACAAAGGGGTTCTTTTTAGCGGTAAACGCGCAAACTTGTGTCTTCTGGGGATTGAACTGGACTAGATTTAGTCGGCCCCAATCCGAGACTTTGTTAAGCAAAGACTCGACTTCAGACACAAGTTTGTCCCGGTACTCGGCGACGTTTTCCCGAGAAATATTGGCACGGCCGGTATATAAGGCATCCCCAGTGCTGTCGTCTGCATAGCAATGAATGCTACCAGTTAGCAACATATCATTGATATGCAAGAGAAACAGCGTTGGTGATAGCACGCAGCCTTCCACAAGGCTGATAGCGGTCCACCAGCGTTGATAGGCTTGAAATCAGAGCATGCACCGTCTACTACGACCTTGATGCTCCGATCAGCAAGGAAACTGGTGATCCATTTGCACAATTTCTCGGGAAGCCCATAGGAAGGAAGCTACGAAAGAAGCGCCTTGTGCCAGACCCGATCGAAGGCCTTCGCTATGTCCAAACTAACGGCCAATGCCTCCCCCTTGGACTCTACTGCCTCCGCCCATCTATGAGTTAAATAAACTAGAAGATCACCTGCTGATCGACCCCGACGAAAACCGTACTGACGGTCACTGATCAGCTGGTGATCCTCAAGGTACCTCATGAGCTGGCAGTTTATAATGGATTCCATTATTTTGGAGAACAAGGAGGTGATGGCGATAGGCCTGTAGTTGGACGGGTCTGAGCGGCCGCCTGTTTTAGGGATCGGGTGGACCAAAGCTGTCTTCCATGAATTCGGGACTACGCCTTGGGAGTAGGAGTACCGGAAAAGACGCGTTAAAACCGGTGCCAACTCCGGAGCACACGTCTTCAGCACAATGGGAGGGACTCCATCGGGCCCACTCGACTTGCTGACGTCCAGGGAGAAAAGTGCTTTGCGAACCGAGCGCTGTGTAAATCGCACATCCGGCATGGAGCACTCACATCGCGGGATGGTCGGCGGTGTGTTCCCCCCGTCATCTAGAGTCGACTTAGACGCAAAAAGAGAGCACAACAGATCGGCTTTCTCTTTTGCGGCATGGGCCAGTGAGTCGTCCTTTCTGTGCAGAGATGGAAGGGATGGCTGACAGAAGTTCCCTTGGACAGCCTTGGCGAGAGACCAGAATGCACGGGTTCCCGAAGGAAGGCGAATTAGCTTCTCGCCAATTCTGCCGATGTGCTCAGACCTTGCCTTGGCAATGACGCTTTTGAAGGACCTGGAGGCGGAATTATACTTCTTTTTAAGTGCGCTGGTGTTTAAATCCCGAGACGTTAATGCGTCAGCCCAGGCCCGGTAGCACTCCTGCTTATAGCGTGATGCTATTTTACAGGAGCGACCAAACCATGGCTGGGATCTGCCTCCAATGGGCACCACAGAGGATGGAATAAAAAGTTCCATACCCTGAAGTACCACATCAGCAACAGAATCGGCAACAACGCTGGGATCTTCCGGCGATAAGCAAACCCGCCCCCAAGGGTAGGATGCAAAAAAAGACCGCATCCCGTCCCAAATAAGCTGACCTATAGTGCCAAACACGGCGGCAAGCTGCAGATCGCAATTGCGATTGGAGCGTGAGTGGCACCGTGCTCCGGATCAGACAATGGTCCGAAGAGCCCAGAGGGGCATCGACGGAGACCTGATATCCATCCGGATGACAGGTCAGCAGAAGGTCCAACAAGGAAGGTACATGGTCTTCCACATCTGGGATCCGCGTAGGCGAAGTAACCAGTTGTGTTAGACCATATGCCAAAGCAAATACAGATGTCCTCTCTGACGTATACACAAACTCCAGCCCGGGGCACAAAGGAGTGTTCCAATTTGTATCCCGGGTAGGAGAGATATGA